TCTCTTTTTTTTTTGTTTTTTGGGTGGGGGGAGGGGTCTTGCAAAGAACTAGTTTCTTCTAATAAGCCTCTTATAGAAATGGTAGGAACCCAAGGGGAATGTGTTTTAGGATTTGGAAACATGGTAGAAAATAGTTAGCCATGATGGCAATTGGGGGCAAGCGAAGTTCGGCTATGTAAATGAGGATGTAAAGAAACCAACCAAGGAAGATCCTTTATATGATAAATGTGTTTAGGAAAACTATTTGGTCATGACTTAGCTGTGTAATTCTATGCAACCTTACATTAGCCCAAATTACTTTTGAACAAAAACAGCTAAGGAGATTTGAGAAGTGATGAAGGAGACATACTCTCAACCACTCAATATTGCCAAGGCCTATAAATTGAAATGTAGAGTAAATAATCTCAAGAAAGGGGAGAAGCTAGTCTCAGTTTACTTTTCCACTCTAAAATCTTTATGGCATGAAATTGAACACCTATAAACTATTGAGTAAGAAAGTTAAAATGATGCAAAAACCTATAGAAAATAGGTTGAGACTAAAGGGGTTTTTGAATTCCTACCTGGTCTGAATTCAGAGTATGATATTGTGAGACAACAACTACTCACCAGGGAGAGTGTGACCTTATCTCAAGCCTATTCTCCAGTGCATAATGAATAAAGTAGGAGAAATGTTATGTTGCAGCGTTAGCCTATGAATAAGCTCTAGCAGCAATGAAACCAAAATTTTAGGGTGACAAGGAAAGGAACATAAAGAAGGAGGATAATAAGGAGTTAGTTTGTGACAATTGCAAGAAGTTGAAACATACCAGAGACACTTGTTAGAAGTTATATCCACATCTAATTCTAGTAAAGCTCAAAACAAAAAAGGAAATGCCAATGTGGCTATCACTACTAATGGTGCATCTTCATCCAACACAAGAGCCACATCCATAGACACTTTAGATGTTGTTTGAGCTACTCTAACTAAGTTGGAAAGTGAAGTTGGCACTTCAACCCCCTCGTTTTAACCATCAGTTACATCTGCTACTCCTTAGCATTTACTCATCCAGGTACAAGGGCATCAACATATCATATTTCATGTCTAAATAACAATAGACATTGTTGGGTCATAGATTCAGGTGCATCTAACCATATGATAGGCTTATCTTCTCTGTTTACCATTTATTGCTTATCTTCTAATAGAGACAAAATATTCATTACTTATAGATCCCTTGTCCCATCTCTGAGAAGGGAGACATTAGATTGTTTGATGCCATCTCATTGTCCTTAGTTTTGCATGTTCATAAACTTGGTACTAATCTATTGTCAGATAATAGCATCACTAAAAATTAAAATTATCCAATGATTTTTTCCCTGATCAGTGTATTTTTCAAGATCTGGAGACAATGAAGGTGATTGGGATTGGCCATGAGACGTATGAAATCTACCTGATTGGATGGCATCTACATGGAAAAGATAAAGAAGTTGGAAGGTCTCTTGTTTCTCAGTCTGTAAGTCAAATTATGCTTTTGTATAATTCGTTAGGGCATTTGTCTTTTAGGTTTTTAAGGAGTTTGCTTCCCAATTTGTTTGAGTCAATTCAAATGTCTAACTTAAAATGTGAGAGTTATAAATTGCAAAGCATTATAGAACGACCTAATTCTTTGAGTAATAAAAGTAGTATTCCTTTTGAAATTATTCATATTGATGTTTGAGGACCATATCACATCATTGCTCTGAGGGGATACAAATACTTCATGTTGTTTGTTGATGACTATACTCTCTTCTAATGGGTTTATCTTATGCACTCTCGAGATGAGGTCTCTACCCTGAATCGAAGTTTCCATCAAATGGTTCTAACCCAATTTGAAGTCAAAATCAAAATTTTCAGATCAGATAATGCCAAAGAGTATTCTGCAAAACCTTTGGCCTCATATTTTCTTGACCATGGGATTATTCATCAAAGCACATGTCCTCGTACACCTTAGCAAAATGGAGTTGCTGAGAGAAAGAATAAGTATATATTGGAGGTAGCAAGAAGTATTGTGCTAAACTCTAATGTTATTAGACGTTTTTGGAGGGATGCTATCCATACAGCTGTGTATCTTATCAACCAGGTTCTTTCACAGGTCCTAAATATGAAATTTCCATTCAACCTTTTATATTTCGATAAGAACTTGTTCACTATTTCCCTTAAAACTTTTCGATGTATTTATTTTGTTCAGATTCTTGGGTTTCATTATTTCAAGTTTGATCTTAAAACTTCCAAATGTATTTTTCTTAGGTATATACAAAATCAAAAGGGATATGGCTACTATGAACCTATTTCTAGGAAACGGTTTGTTTCTATAGACATCACATTCTTTCAGGATGTTCCCTATTATCATAGAATTTCTTCTCTGGGGGAGAGTAGTGAGATGGTTCAATTACATCAGAAATTCCATCACTTGTCTTAATCACTGAAAGGGGAGTGTAGTGTGAAGGGTTCTCAAAAATCTAAGGATTTAAGGGTGTTTCACAAGCAATGAGTTGATTTCAATCCTCAATAGTTTAGGTCAACTCCAATGTCCTCTATAGCTCTAAATCTAGATACCACAACTCCTTTACATCCCACCACAGATGAGATATTCCCCATCACTAAGCCTAATCAAATGCCTTTCATTACTGAGCTTTCTCCTCTAAATAATCTTAATCTTCCAATTGTAGTCCGTAAAGGAAAGCGCCATTGTACTTCATCTACAACACATTGTATTTCTCAGTTTCTGATTTATAATCATTTATCTCTATCCTATAAGTCCTTTTTGGCATCTATTTTTACTATTCTCATTCCCATGACAGTACAAGAGGCCTTGTCAATACCTAAGTGGAAGGATGCCATTAAGGTAATAATGGATGCCCTTCTCAAAAACAATACATGGGAGTTAGTTGATCAACCAAAAAGGAAGAAATTGATTGGGTATAAATGGGTGTTTATAGTGAAACATAATGTTGATAGTTCTATTGAGAGGCATAAGGCAAGATTAATTGCAAAAGGGTTTACATAGACTTATGGCATAAACTATTTGGAGACTTTTGCACCAATAGCCAAAATAAACACTATTAGAATATTATTGTCTATTGCAGCAAATTTTTCATGGTCATTATTCCAAATGGATGTTAAAAATGCCTTCCTCAATGGTGATTTGTAAGAAAAGGTGTACATAAAGTTATCTCTTAGACTCCATAGTATAGAAGCAAGGGAGAAGGTCTATTAGTTGAATAAAGTCTTATATGGATTGAAGCAGTCTCCAAGAATCTGAGTTTATAAATTTAGACTTACTCTTAGAAATTTTGACTATGTCCAAACCAAATCAGACCACACTCTTTTCATTAAGAAAACAAACTCCTTAACTCTACTTGTATATGTGGATGATATTGTGGTGACAATGAGTGATACCCATGAGATTGACTTTCTTAAGCAATTACTTCACCAAGAATTTATCGTCAAATACTTGGGAGAATTACGTTATGTCTTGGGTATTGAAGTAGCCCAATCCAAAGATGGGATTTTTGTCTCCCAAATGAAGTATATTCTTGATCTTCTAGAAGAAACTAGGAAGCTAGGTGTTAAACCTGCTAACACACCCATTGAACAAAACCACAAGATAAGGGCTGAAGCTAGAGGGCTCATTGAAGACAAGGTTATGTTTCAATAGTTGGTTGGAAAACTTCTTTTATCTTTGCTTCACACGACTAGACATTTCTTATGCAATCAATGTAGTTAATCATTATATGCATTACCATAGAAGTCTAGAACCACTCACCTTCTTGTAATTGAGAGGATCCTTGTTTATCTTAAGAAATGTCCTAATAGAAGCATACTCTTCAAAAATAATGATTACATGAAGATAGAAACAAAATGTTGTAATTCATTCCAGTGTTGAAGTAGAATACATATTTATGGCACATGGTGTGGTTGAAGTATTATGATTGAGGTCCATATTCGAGAAACCGGGAATTGCTTAAGAGAAGTCTTTGATATTGTATTGTGATAATTAGACTGCTATTAACAATGCCCATAATCCAGTACAACATGACAGAACTAAACATATAAAGTGGATCGACACTTTATCAAAGAGAGAGTTGTCCCTCAAGAAGTGTGTCTTCCATATATTGCCTTTGATATACAACCTACATATCTCTTCACCAAGGCAATTACAATGACCAAGTTGAAAACAGATCTACACAAATTGGGAATGATAAAATATATATTTCCAACTTAAGGGGAAAGTATAGAGATGCAAAATAATAATGTGTGTTGTTACAAGGACAAAATTCAATTACGTATCGAATGATACATATCATACCAAGATCTTCTTGATACACCCCTCCAAGGGGTGTTTTGATGTCTAACCCAATTTAGGGAGTAGACGGGCCTTAAATTAACCCCTCTCAACAAGGTTGAAGAAAAAAACTAAAAAGTAAGGGAGCGAATCACGATATAGTCGGATACGCTGAACTGTACCGAAATTTTGAACCTTGAAAGGAAAGGGGTGAAGCAATATTAATCATGAGAATTCATGTAGCCCATGTACAGTATTAAGCATGAGAATCCCAAATCACTGCTTTGCTATGGCAAAATATCTCAGGATTACTCAACCATTGCTAAGATACCTTTATCTACACTTTATATGATAAATACTTTATAGACCCTAACCACAAAATCACATGATCCAGGCAACGATAACCATCTGATTATCCACTCTTTCAGTGATTGAACATAATGTAGGCATCAGGCTAATTCTTGCCAGTTTATTGGTTTATGGTCTTCTTGCAGACGAGTACACCACATTTTAAACTGCCCACCTTGAATCTTGTGTCAAATAAAACAACAGTTGAAGCACAGGAAGTATCAAGAGATGTCGCAGACTATGAGTTTCAGAACCTAACCTACTTTTTACAACAAAACTTAGGGCTTCTTGTCTCATCTTTTACACATATCACATATAAAATGGTATTGAACTCCATATTCTTGACGTTTGTCAATGGATTACAGGCTTGAGGGGATGCGCTCTCAGTTTTGATAGGTCAAGATTTGCATCAAGCTCCTCATCTAGTTCCCCAACGATACTTCTATGCAAGTCAAAGAGAGGAAAAATACAGGGAAGTGTTAAGAAAAAAAATGCTCTGACAACATGACAACATACGAACATCATAAATGACTATTAAGAAGTCTTACATGTTATCACCCCTTATTATGTACAAGCCTAATACAAGTTGCTGGACGCCCTCCTGCAAAATGGGATAAAATAGGAATTTCAGCTGGTAATGAACAAAATCTGGACTCAAAGACAAAACTGAAAGAACATTTAAGGAAAAAAAAAGGAAGATAACAATGAAGAAGACTACCGTAACTAGATAGATAGCTGATATTAATATAGGTGACCCATGTGAAGTGCCACAATAAGTGCAAACAGCAAAGGCATGACCTACACAGTTTGTACACCACTAACACTAAAACAAACACCTTAAGGTCACATTATTAAATTGTTTTATAAAATAAAATCGCAAAATAGGTGGTGATGGCAACAACATTTAAGAAGCAAAATATGTTAATTTGATGATGTCTGTCAACATGGACTCCCAAGCCCTAAGCCCATTGAAGCAAGAAATAACCAAGTTCCTAAGCTTCAAATTAGGGATTTCAATGGGCCGGATATGAATTGAGTCCAACTTGAATGGTCGAATCTGACCTGACTAAAATGGACTGGACAGTCCAATACTTCATATTGAATCAGACCGATCCAGAATAGAAGGTCCATTATTTTATCGGTTTCAATCGGACATAATCCGATTGTCAAACTCTCCAATGACTCCAGAAAAGTGGTAAAACCCCATTTCTTGTCCAATCCATCCCTAAAACCTCCATTTCTCATCCAATAGCCTTGCCACAACCTCCAACAGCCACACACAGCAGCATCACCACTGCCTCTCTCTTTCTCTCTCTCTCTCTCTCTCTCTCTCTCGTTCCTCATCCAAAAACCCCTGACGACAGAATGCTACCACTTCACCACTTCTGATGGCCAGCCATCAGCATTGCTGCCGTCACTGCCACCACCCACCTCATAGTGAAACTAAAAGAGCGTTCTTGTCTCTTGTCTCTAGAGTTGTCTTTAGTCACAACCTCGCTCCTTCCACAGAAAAAAAAAAAACTCAATTTTTTTCATTTTTTGTATTTTTTCTATTGTTTTTATTTTCTGGTGATTTTTATGATTCTTATTTTTATGTTATTTTTGTAATTTAGACTGGTTCGTATTTGACCCGTCCAACCAGACCCATTAAAGGATCAGACTGAACCTTCTCTTTACTAGATTCAGATTGGATTGGGTCCAGGCCATCTGTTAGTGGATTTAAATTGGATCAGATCGGGTTAGACAAAACCAGGTCCCTTAACACCCCTACTTCAAATTATGTTTGGGGTGATAAATCATCTATCTTATTCTGCATAATATAAATATATAATGGTAGGTTGCAACAAGAGAAAATAGAATCCCAACAGACTTATCAAAGAAATAAACAAGGCACCTAAAAAAATCATTCAAGGCATTCATGATAATGTAAAGCCAAATAAAGGACAAGTGTACAAACTGTTGTGGAGTAAACCCGTTCACGAGACTCATCGAGGATAATATTTGTAGCCTGATCAAAACCTTTTAAGACTCCCTGAATGGAAATAAACAAAGATTAATGCAAATGTAATCAATACAGTACAGAAATTTCTTTTTTTTTGATGGACCTTTCCAGTACATAATTCACCACTTTCTAGTGATTGTATCCTGAAACTTACCACTATATTGCGCCCATCATTTGTTATAACCGATATTTGTTCTACACATAAGAAAAAGAAATTAAAAAGAAACAACGAATCTGAAAGTAAATAAATGCCATGGCTAGTGGGTTTTATTAGCAATAAAAAAAACTTCAAATTAGCTTCTCAGTAAGACCAAAATAATAGGGATAGGATATGGCTCAGACAAGTCATGATGGCCAAAAACAGAAACAGGGTTCAGAGTGCTGACAGGAGTAATAGTATGGTCAAGGGTTATAAGAGTTATGGTCAAGTCTAAGTTGATGTAGTCAACATTATTTTCAAGTACCATGATATTAAGCAGATGCTCCAATATCACTAATGCAGAGCTGATATGGAAAAGCAAATAATTACAAATGTAAAGTAGGGTTTAAAGGAAAACTATGGGCATGGAAGGAGTGCGCTGGGTACACTGGGTACAAAACAAGGGAATTCAGCCCTTTTAGTGCTGATGACAATGACATCATGAGAGCAAGGCAAGTAATATCTGTCTTCTGTACTGAGGACTTAATTATGGTTGCAGCCTTGCAAACCCAGCCAATTCTGGAATTTAAAGGAATATATAGAAATAGCAGGTGAAATTCTTACAATCCAAACAGGATCAAGTTGAAATTGGTTAACTCTGACTGTGTTGAATTACTTTCTGTTTTGCAAGGTCTGAGATTAATCGTCTTTTGATGATGTAGAGCTTGAAGTGGGAGGGGATTTAAAAGTTGTAATTGGGTGGCCCAAAGGTGATGTGTCAGTTCCCTGGTTTTACACCCATAACATGAGGGAAGTAACAAAAGAGCTTGAAGTGGGAGGGGATTTAAAAGTTGTAATCGGGTGGCCCAAAGGTGATATGTCAGTTCCCTGGTTTTACACCCATAACATGAGGGAAGTAAGATCCTTGGTGTCCAGATTGAACATCTCATTTAATTGGAACCCTAGGAGAGATGGGTTTTAGACCCATAACATCTTGGTATCCAGATTGAGCATCTCATTTAATTGGAACCCTAGGAGAGATAATTCTTCTTGCTGATGTTCTTGCAAAAAAGGAGCTAACAAACTTACATTGAAGTCTAGCCTCAGCAGCAACAACTTTACTAGTCACTGTTATTGAGTTTTTTTCTATGTGCTTTTGACCTGCTATCTAAGCCTTTCAGTTTTCTTTAAACTGCAATAATATTCCCGGACCATTACTAGACCTGTAACTTGGGGGATCCCAACCCAACCCAAGGTTTTAAACAGCTCAGGTTTGAGGTTTCAGGCTGCAGGATGAGCCTGGGTTAGAAAACTTGCGCCTAACCTAAACTTAAATCTATGCATTGTGTATTAAAGATATGTATATATGCATGTATATAATATACATATTTATAATATCAGATACACCTTAGTCTGTTTAATTATTTATAGGGTTTGATTATGATACCGGAAAAACTTGTAACCAATCAACTGGTACCATAGAAGTGGTAATTAATCAGGTGGTATTTATCAAAATTCACGAGGGTTTTGATTGGTCAAAGCTCTTTTGGTATCATATCTTTCCAAAAACATGGATTTTTCCTTATTATAATTAGCCAAAACTCATACCCATACACAAACATGTAGAATTCACGCATAACCTAAATGCAGTTGAACCATTTAAGTATCTAAACGGGTTGACATCTAAAACCTACTTTAGATCAGCATAACCTAAAACCTAGAAAGGATAACAAATTTACTAATATGAACATTAACAACCTTATTTTGTGCACAACAAATCATAGTTTTTAAAATCGAACTGGTTAGGGGTCCAGTTATCGGGTCGAACGGTCTAACTGTTCGAACCAAACACTCGGTCCATTCTGACAAAAAAATAAAAAATGGTTAAAACCGTTCGAACAGTTAACCACCCGATTCAGCGGTTCGCTGACCAAGATCAACAGTTTTGGGGAAAAATCCGATTTTTGGAAAAAACAGAAACGATCACCTGATTAATTCCCGATTTTTCCGATCTGACCGTCCAGTCCGATCCCATTTTGAAAACCATGCAACAAATTGACTAAACTAACAAACGATACTGGTGAGCTTCAAAATATGACACATAACAGTATGGCCCGCTAAACACGTCTGAGATGTGTGGCTATAGATCATGTTCGAAGCTTTGTTGGTAGCAGATCTAGACTTGATTGTTGCAAACTCTGAAATGAACTTCATGCAGTAGAGGTGGTGC